AAAACTTATAAGAAATCATGTGGGAACACGCAAAATAGGGATCCTGCAGATTATCTAAAGAAAAAAAGTTCTGGTGTATTTTTTCCTGGAAAAATGGAGTTTCTCCTGGAGTTTCTATTAGGAAAGACGCTGGCAAGTGCCTGGGCATCAAATGATATAATGATTAGATACAATCAGAGTCTCAAAAGCACTGAGGAGGTTTCCTGTGCAAGAACCTTGTCGAGCTTTGTCTCTAAGTTGAAAGATCAAAAGGACTTTTTGAATGCAGTAGGTTTGTTTCCTGCAAATCTGTGGTTCATTCAGGATTTTATCAATATATTCTAGGATATTGGAGTAGCAAATCTGAAAAATTCTGAATAGTCACAGAAATAAAATAGATAGGACCAGACGTGGGGAGAGAGATGAATGCCTAAAGTGAACATGGAGGTCTCTATTTGATGATTTTAATTATTCTGATACTTTTGGTTCTGGGATCACAAAAATCTATGATGGATTTTCTGCAGACTGTGGTTTTAGGAAAGAAGTCACTCTGCTGTGCTGTGCAGTAGAGCCTTTTATTTCTGTTCATGGAGAACTCAGATAAAACTGGTCCTTTTTTTCTCATCAGCATACTTGCATGTGTCAATTTATGACAAGCATACTATTTCTCCTAAAATTATTTTTCTTATGTTACATATACAGATGATAAAAGTGGAGCAGAATTAGTATTTTGGATTAGTTATTATTGCTGTTCCCTTCTTCTAGGAAAGATTTAAAAGGTTTGCTTGTATTTGTGCTTGTTTTACTTTACCCCATTGCCAAAAGAGTGTTATAAGAAAGAAAAGGGACAGAGGGTGAATGCTTTGTAATGGCTTTGTAGTAGTTTGCCTTTGCCATAATTCCTGCAATAAGCAAGTGCTTAAGGAGTATTACATGAAATTCTGAAGCACTCAGAGTATTGCATAATATTTAAATAACATAAAAGAGTGAATGGAAATCTCAGTATGTTTCGAAAAGCCCCAGAAAAATGAAGCACAATTGATTACAAAAGCTCTACTTTACAACAACAGGACAGACAAATGTAACAAATAGTGCATCTCACTTGACATCTTAAAGGTGAAATTTAAAATGGTTCAAAAAAGCTGGCTTACCTTGCTGTGGAGATATGAAAGAATTGCCTGTTCCAGTCTTTTTCAAAGATAGATCATTTTATGAAATATCAAGCCCTTGAATTTTTTTGTCTGGCTCTGCTGATACAAAGTGATAGTATCCAAAGGTTTCATACAAGTAGCAATTTACATTTTTAAATACAGAAAGAAACAAGAGAGACTATTTGCTACCAGCAACACAGAGCTGTTGTCACTGTTGGTTTTTTTTTCACCTTTAGCTCATAAAAGCAAATCTCTCTTGCTTTGTCTATTGCTGTGTTAGCCAAGAAGAGCAGTGTTGATGTTTACTACACCAAAGAACAAAAATTAACTCCAGAAACAGTATATGAGAAAAATACCAACACAAAGGAAGAGCTTAATATAATATTTTATTTTTAGCTGAACATATCGGGTGAGAAAATGCATATTTTCTGGTGGCTTGACCACACTGTTCTGTTCAATCAGAATGCTGTTGAAATCAATAGCTTAAGATTAGAAAGCTTGTATTTTTGAAAGTAAGAATATTATTTATTATTAATAAAAACATAAAATTAATGTTTAGAATTGCGAGAGTGGCACAGCCAAGTACGGAGGCAGGAGGAAACAGGCTTTGCAGAAGTCTTGAGTTCAATGGAACATTGCTCCTTCCTTGTGGGAAGCAGTGGCTCTACATTGCCCTGCTCTCCTCTGTCTCCTGTCAATAAATCCAGTGACCTGATCCATTGCCTGGTGCTGCTGCAGGCTTTTTTGTGGCCCTGAGGAAGATATTTACATGACTTTTGCTTCAGTTCCTGATTGTAAGAAAGGGATAATGTCTTCCTCTTCACCTCTATGAGCCTCCTTTATTTGTGCAACTCTGGGGCAGAGATCCATACCTGATTTCTGAAGGATGTTATGTTAAAGGTGGTGTAATTACTGGCTACAGGCATTTCCCAACTGTGTGGAGGCTCCTGAGGGGTTGTTTGTTTCTCCAAGGGAACACAAAAGAGGGGAGTCCCTATTTACGCAAGGAGAGGGTCTTGCCTAAGGAGTTTCCCTAAGGAGCAGAGGAGGAGGAATTCCCTGCTGGGGATGGTTTCTGGTTCCAGCTCCACATGGATGGAGATGGCGAAGGTACCGAAGCAGTGAGCCTGAGAAGGCAGCCAGCTGATCTGCCAACTTAGCTGCCAACCTCCTAAGCAAGCTCTTCTGGCACACTTCAAAGGAGGTGACTGGATTCTGACATCTCAAAATCACTGCTGCATAATTTGAAACACACCTGTTCGTCACTCACATGTAGCCTTGTGTAATGCATCTCATTAACACCTCCTGGTAAACCTCACTGGAAGTATTCTGGAATAGCTAGTTGTTTGAATGGGACAGAACTGAGTTGCCAAACATGATTCACACACAAGGTCTCAGTACTCAAGTGATGAACCTGCCATTAGATTTAAAAATCAGCACCATGTCTTAGACCACAGCAGGCAATTAAAAAACAACAAGATTTTTGTGGGCAGCTTGTATTGAAACACAAACAATCTCAGCTTATTTTGGCTGGTGCTGATAACTTAGTAGTCTGTTTTTGTTAATAAAAATGCTACCAAATTGGGTGGGGAGGTGGGGGAGGCAATGCTATATAGAAATGCAATTAGTGCAGCTCAGGCCTGACTTAAGTGGTTTCAGAAAGACAAGGTAGAGGTGCAAAATGCAGATTCACGAGGAAAGAAAAAATAGTCACTTTGAAGGCTGCCAGAAAATGTAACATCTTCAATAGTGCAACTTAGCTGTGATAAAGAAGATGCCTGTTTCAGGTACAGAGAGAGTCCCAGCTCAACAGTGATCAGCAGAGCTGAAGAGAGTACATCAGGAGTTTTTCCCCAGGAAAAAGGCAGGAATCAAACATTTGGCTGTGCAGTAAGATGTCCTGCATGACATGTGGTGAACTTTGATGGTGGAGTTTCTCCAGGCACGCTGTATAACTTGGTAGGCAGTCCCAGCTCCTAAGCAGTATTTTGGATGTGCTGCCAAAGTGTTGCACAAATGTGATCATCAGGAAGGAAGAACATCAGGCAATGCCATTCAAACTGATTATTTTTATATTTAAAATTATTCCTTGGACTTCTGACATAGAATCAAATGGTCCTGAAAACATGGAAGTGTCCTTTTCCAGGACAACACAGCAGGAA